AACCGTAAACGATTTCGTCGGATCAGCAGTGTTGTTCAATTATAAATAAAAATAATAAGAATATGAACTAAAAAGCGTTCGGTTTTTTCGAGGCGTTTCACACTCGGTCCGTCACTGATTTCCCAACGCCAGCCAACATATATAACCTATCTATATAGTATGTATAAATCTATATAGGACCGATGTAGACAGACCGATAGACCTGCAGATATTATATTATTATTAACTATTGTAGGCATACGTTTTTTTATGTACTGTGTAATTTTACATCGTGCGCGCATCGTGGCCTCTTGTTTGTCTATATACATGCAACGCACTCTGTATAATTGCTGCAGGATCCTATGATGCCAAGTTTGCGCGACGACAAAGTATTATGGCCGGTGAGAATTATAATATATTATAGGGGTGTACAGTTGTACACTTTACGGTTGTAGCTTAGGTACTTAATACTTATACAAACATACAGTATATTATAGGTATAAGCCCATACTATATGAGTAAGTTCGAATAACAAAGGTTAGTTTAGTTAGTTAAGTTAATAATATAGTACCCCCCCCCCCCCCATCATCAACTTACCATTTCGTGATGTACACGCCACTGCTCCTACAGTAGTGTTATGTATTTATAATTACCGCGAAATAAATCGAATCCGTTTAAAAAATCCGACGGAGTATAATTGAATGACATTGTTGCTGCAGTGATTGTATTAGCGCATGTTTTGAATTGTTGTATAGATATATTAAATAGTATGGTATGACGCGAATAGTAGTGACGGGGAGGGGGGTGTTATGCATACAAGTCGTAAAATGTCGTTAAAAATTCGCAGGAGAGAAATCGTTAATCATATTATCCGATTGCCAAACGCCGCTGCAGAGGTCATCGCGCTCGGCGACAGGACCGTATTCTGGACGTGGTAATGATATATCTAATAAATTAGTTTTAAGTTATAAAATCGTAATTTTTTGTTGAAAGAGGGGGACGTTTAAGTCACAATGTAACAAACCGACCATCGAAACTTAAAATTTTCGGGAGAATGGGTTGAACCCGGAAAACCGCCCTTGCCCGCTGAATGGACGACGACAACGACTTATACATATATTATACGGTAGAATGACAATAATATTATATAGGTACTCGGGTACACACGTTAACAAGTAATACGGACTGTAAACTGTAAATATTATAATTTATATATGGGAAACTCGCATGTATTCTATAATAGTATATATATTATACCGCCGCTGTCGCTTTCGGATTGCGACACCAATTTATAATAACAACCGCGCGCGGTTAGCCGACCGTGTCTTCCTGTGCAGGTCCGTAGGTACTTGTGTACGTACAACAATATAATGCTGCTCGTAAACGCGTAGGTAACCTAACCAAACCTATATACAGGGTACCTGTTAACACGTTAACGATCTATATTTTACTGGTAATTGTTAAGTATTATTTTGGTTTGCCTACGGTAAAAATCACGTGTGTGTCTTCGTGTTAATCGAAAAATTTTTACGGCAAATTTATACACCATATACTACGTCATAGTGTCATAGTGACCATAAAAATAAAATAAAAATACAATTGAACCTTCAAAAAACAAGATAAAAGCGATTTTTAGCTCGTTAGTGACCCATTTTTCAAGTATTATAAAATATATCAATACTTTTTGGAATGAGTTTTCATTATATACATATTATTATTTTTGATTTAAACATAATTTCATAGCGATAAAATATTTGATGTGGTTTCTTACATTATCATAGATAGTTTTCTATATTTTACTTACTAATTTTACTTTTTCGACTTGATATGCTGATATAAATTCCCGAGCTTGGAATAAAGTAACGAATAAAAACGAGTACGATATTCTTGTTTTAATAGTTAGAAGAAACTATGTGCCTCCATTGGACTAATTTTCCTAACTAATTTCGATCGCACCCCGTAGTACATATCAAATGTGTATTAAAGCTGTACAATAGGTACACATATATATATATTTGAGTATATACATATAACATATAATATTAACTGGCTCATATATACATATACATAACAGGGTGAACAGTACGTTGAGGAAATATCCCGAATGCTTAAATACACTCGCCTTACATAGAAATACAACGTATAATAATATGTACTACAGTACAACGATTATCAAAATGATCTATCGTCGTTGGAAACCGCGCGTGCGGTTCGTCGTGTGTTTAATGTATAAACGCGATGTTTGCTGCAGTGACTGAGCAGTGTGCTTGTATTATGCTTGCGTGCTCTATCCACATAGGTATAATACGTCAGAAAAAAAAATGAATATACCTCCTCCGAGACTTTAACGGATTTCCGCATACGCCTGTACGTTGCGTCTCTAATCTTGTCGTTTAAATCGCACAACGACGCGCACCACGCTATATAATAATATCATACATTCAGCTGGTGTGTTTAACGTTCAACTCTGATCGTAATATTTTTGAAAAACGTTTTTAAGGGCCCGTCTGTTAAAAAGATGTCGAGTACCTACCTATCTACGTCCTACGTGTATAGTGTATACCGTCGTTGATAAAAATTCTTTTCTCCGCTCCACTACTCGTGAGACGGCCCAGTTATGTGCGCACAGCGTAAATGTTTTAAAAGTTGAATTATCGATTTCCCTATTCGTGTGTTTTATGCTTCACATAAAGGTGTACGAAGTGCGTATATATTTAGGTACTAAAGATATGAGCTTAATAAATAATACTTACGTATTTACACAGCGTTTATTGGTATAGGTGGACGGACGGGCGAGGAGACAAACACTCTGCGCTATGAGATACGCTCATTATATATAAATGTATAGCGAGTTTCGCAGATGACTGCAGTTTAAAACGATATATACATATTATAATATTATATTCCGTTTCCGCGTTATAAACCGTTGTGTGTATTTTAACGTTATATTTTGCTCTGTGTGCACCGTATAGCCTCTGCATCATGAGATTCGTTTCCCAGACTTGGTTTTTTTCGCGATAAATTGACCCTGACTTGTATATTGTGCAGCGAATATACCGCTGAAAGAAATAAATATCTGCTACACGGTGCACTGTTACGATATACAGAGCGCACGCATAGAATGATGTTTCTGTACAAGATTTCCCTCAGCAGTGACGAGATTCGCCAGCCAAAAACGGATTTCTGATTTTTTCGACCGTGTTACCTATATCATATATATTATTATTATATAAGTATATAATGATGTAAAGTGATATCATATAATATAGGGGTACGATTTTGGTATTTTTTTCCAATCAAAAGCATTCGCTCGCGTGTGCACACGCACATACGCACGCGATACGAGTAAAAATGATTAAACGACAAAATAAATAAAATCTCTCCGCGAGACGTTATATATAAAACCGTCGAAAAAGAAAATCGCGTTACTCTCTCGCGTTAACATTCGTTGCAATCGATTACACGTAATGTATAGTATACCTATAATAGCTCATAGTAGTAGTATTTTAGTATACTGTAACATCTAACATAGTATAATAAATTGTAAAATAATAACAAATAAAAGCTGCTGTACGTACACACGAAATTTGCCGACTCACTTCTATACTGTTTAGGTATTATATATATACAGAGTGTCGAGTGCAGAACTTACCGGTTCGATAAATTCATAATATTTTATAGCGGCCTATACATTTTAAAACTTGCTCATACTAAATGTCTAAATTAGTAATTTAAATAATAGTATGATTTAATTATTGATACTCTAGAGCATAGGTTCCCAATCCCAACCTATGGTCCGTGGACCACTAGTGGTCCGTGAGCCATACTTACAAAATGTAAAAATATTTTAATAATTTAATTTTCCTTTGAGGCATAACTCTAATTACTGACATTCGTGTATAGTACGTCGTTTCTTTATAAATTTATATTACATAGTGAAATCCATGTTATTAAAAGCCTCATATTCATGTAATAATAATCAAAATTCTAAAATATGTGAAAAAAAATTGATTCTTATTTGTAAGAAAAATATGGTATACAATTGAGGTGGTCCGTGACGTATCCAAAGTTCTCATAGTGGTCCATAGTACCAAATAGGTTGGGAACCACTGCTCTAGAGTCTAGGGTATAAGATTTTTGTGTTACGTTATCCTAAAACAAACATTTTAACCAAAAACCAAACATTCTCTAAATCGTGACCAACTGCTGCAGCAGTATATGACGAGATTTCAAAAATACATTGTATATAGAGGATTTAAAAAAAATTTCCGAAGTGGTAACGAGCCCGCGCAAAGACTTCCGCCGTGCAATCGTGTATTTTTGTAAGCGTATCATATACACTATATATGTGTATTATATATCCTATACCAAAGCCGATCGCTTTTATGCTCGCCTTGACTTCATTGCCGACCTGCTATATTTCACGTATTATTATGTAATATTTATAGTGATGAACAACGTACATATTGTATACCTATTGGGCTATTAGTGTATTAATATATAGTGAAGTCGGTTAGCAGGCTTAGTCCGCGTTGATCTTTAAAATACTTTTGTAGCCACGAATAAATAGACTTCTCGACCTGTACCCCCTATTTATAACTATTAACTCGTCTGTATTATGTATGAGTCAATAATGATTCTGTATAAACGACAAATAGTAGGTAGGTAGGTAGAGTTAATGTTTCAATTAGTTTCTAATTTTTATTTAAAAAGTATTAAATGTTATATAGAAATGAAAAAAAATTGTTTTTGCATATTTTCCAATTTTTTATTGCATATAAATCCTAGCCCTATTATGTACGATGCGTATATTACTTCTGGTCCTTCGGTTTTGATTTTTTTTCTTATATACCTGTCAACAATCTAACAAACGCTTCACTTGCATGCATAGTAATAATACTAATATCAAACATAACATCTATATATCATAATAATTTAGCGATCAATGTTAATAACGATTTCATTTTAACGATTACGGTGCTCGATTCTTACGGATTTTTTTTCTCCCTGTTTGCCCACAGCCCGCCTCCAAGAAACTGTTTCGGCGCCGTAACCTCGTGCGGCAGAGCCGTTGCTTGATGGAAGCTTGCAAGAAACCGGTCCTGCCGGCCGTCGACGAAGTACAAGAGCCACCGGACGATTCCATGGCCGCCGCGGCCGCTCGACTTCGAGACTTGGACGACGGGGCCGGCGACGACGACGACGACGAGTTTTTCTTCGACAGCATCGAAAGCAGTCTGGCCACGAGCGCTTGCAGTTCCCGACCGCCGCCGCCCGAATGTGATTCCATCGATCTGTCGCAACCCGACTCGTCGTTGACGGCCACGTCTTGACCGGCGACGGTGTTCCGTCGTAATTGTATTACATATTATTATTATATACTTAAAATTATGGATGTGTAGAGATACTATGCCTATACGACGAGATGGAAAAAAAAAATGTTGTGTTTTGCCATTTTTTTTTTTTTTGATACTCTCTCGTCTTTACCGCATACAATTGTAACATAAACATCGTCATCGTCCTATATATTTTGTATAACGTAACACACATATCATCATCACCATCATCATCAACAACAACAATAACAATAACAACAACAACATCACCATCTAATCCTTTTCGCGTCCTCGTCGCGTCTGTATGTAGGTATATCTACGTTTATATATTATATTGTTATACTGCACATCCCGAGACGATATATTTTTGGACTTGACGATGATTATTGCCATAGCACACGCGCATAATACATATTATGTAATAAACACGTACACGATATTTTATAACGAGTATATAATATAATATATCTATATATATATATATATTATGTATTATTTTTTTTTAAGTGTTTCAATGTTTCAAATCAATTTTTTTGACGATAAATCATTCGTTTGCCATCCTTACACTATTATTTGTCTATATATATATATATTTATACGATTATCGATGTGAATTTTTATTTTTTTTCTTCAAATTTTAATATTCTAGTTAACATAGAGGTTATATGCGATGAATTTGTTTCTTCTCTTCTATAAATCAACTGCCGCCTTAGGTACGTTTTCCTTGTCGCGTCTGGACGCGATGTCTAGCGTCAATTACCAGTCTGGACATAGGTCGGCGTCACGGCGGTGTGCTGTTCCAATGTTAGACATTACAGGAAACCATACCTTATGCTATAAAGAGTGTCAGCATGAATGAGCATTTTTTACGAAGGAGACCCATCAACTTGTTTTTTATATAACTCCAAATAAACAGCTTTGGTTAACTAGCTCGTGTTAAAAATATTTTTCAGAAAATCTGGCCCAAAGATACAATTATACATCTGTATTATACAATATTATATTATCGTAATACTTTTTGTTATTATTATTTTTGTTTAATTACTTTTGTGGTGCTCATACGGTTGGAGAAATTGAAATATAGTATAATATAATATAATTATTATACAATACGCGTGTATAACAATGCTACAAGGTACCCATAATATAAAATTATTATGTAATCGGAAAAAAATTAACGTACCTACTTACCTATTTTTTCTATCCGCGTCTCGACATTCCAGACATTAAACATATTGCATATTATTATTATTACTATTATTGTTTTCCATAAATCGTATTTTTATGTTATAAATTTAGACTGATTATTGCGTAGTAATTGTATAATCTGAATTCCAACCCTAACATTTTTCTCGTAAGTCGATCCTTCCCCCCCCCTCCCCAGGCCATTGAGAATTGATTGTACGTTTTCTAATACATTTGTTTTTAAACCCGTGGGTTTGTTTTCATTGCAAACTTTACACGGAAAAGAGTGTTCTAGTTTATCGTTTACACGCATAGAAAAAAAAATTCGACGTATAAATCCTCGGTAATGGGGTCATGTATCTCCTGTATTCACTATATATCCAACCATCCTTAATCACCCTACCGCCCTATTTCTCCAATACATAATGTTAATATTTTTTTTTAAGTCAAATGAATAAAAACAAAGCTCACTGATGATATAATACTTTATAGAATAAATATATTTATATGTAAGTGTCACATTTATTATTATTATTATTATTATTATTTTTAAAAAAACATTAAATCATAAATTATTATTATTGCGTAATTTTGTATAACCACATAAAAAAATATTTATTTTTAAACAGAAATTTATACATAAAATATATTATAATTATTGTTATTGTACCTATATATATGTTATTAATGTTGTAAATGTATTTTTTCTTTTCTTTTTTTATGTAGTGTTATTATAGATGATATTTTTGTGTGAAAAAAACTATAAATACACATGTGTTATAAGACAGATATATTATGTGTATGTTTCGAAAAGAACTGTACAATAAACTCGTGATCTTAGTCAATATTGTGAAGCTTTACTTTTCTCCGTCGTGTTCTTTATAATAAAATTCTATAACATAACAATATTATATTATGTGCATATAACTGTGTAATATGTGATATATATGTAAATATATATATTACATTATATTATGTGGGTAACATTTACGTCCAGAGGTCGTGACTACATCATATTATGTATATATATATAATATATATATATATATTATACTATATGTTGTACCGACAACATATATATATACTCAACGGTCGATGTGGGTATTTGGAAAAGAAAATGAGGAATTTCCCAGTGAAATCGAGACGAATAAAATCTGCAGACCTGCATCGCGCTGCTGTCACTCTAGCCACGCGTCGAGCACCTACCTACCTACCCATATTATACGATTTTCGGTCCAGGGGGGGTGGAAGAATCTATTTAATATCATCTGCAATAATCTACAGAGCCCCCGTCGGAACGGTCGAAAAAAATAAATAACGTCGCTTCGGGGGGTAAGATAATTGTGACCGACTTACGTTCCGGGGTGCGTGGACGATTTATTATTTATTTAATGTGCGGGCCACACTAAATCACGTTTATGGGACCATTAACTCTGCACTGTGTATTGTCTATTCGTTAAAAATAAATAATGTTCAGCGATTTGCCACCCGGTGGCATTATAGTAATAATGAACAGACACCGCGCCGGCCCGATGGTAGTATATTATGCACTCGAATCTGGTTTTGCGATTGGAGTATTAAGGCTTATATACTTTTTGGTAATAACCAAGTTGCAACCGAGTATACCAAGAATTGAATATACAACTGAACTTTTAAAGCTGGATTTACAGCTAAGCCGTGCTTAAAAGTTGAGCTGTAGTCAATTATTAGTATTCGCGTTGGTTTAAAAGTTGAGCTGTAGTAAATCTTGGTATATACTCGGTTGCAACTTGGTTAGTACATGATACCAAGAGAGTGATGCCCAATCACGATACGATTCGATCGACAAGATACGACGTATAGCTGCGTGAATCCGGCTCCGACCAATATAGTTGCACGTTGTAACCACAGTCAACACCGCCATAGCACACACGACACACGACACATAGCTGCTGCAGTGCATCCGGCTTCATTCGTTTTTCGAAAATTGGCTAATTCGTTCGGTCCGAGGGGAAACTGAATCACGTAATATTTAATAAGTGTATCGTCAATATCACGTTATCAGATATAATATTATCGTTATTATTATTATTATTATTATTATTATACACACTGCAGTGAACCTGCGACACCGCACACTCAGTGCAAAAATAAAAAAATAAATAATAATAATAAAACTCGAGGCCGCGCGTGTGTCCGGCCGCGGCGGCGTGATTGATTCGCCAAAGGTCAACCGCGCGCGCAATCGAAATATTATAATAACATTATAATGTGTACTCGTATATTATTATTATTATTATTATTATTATTATTATTATTATTGTACTGCACACGGTGATTGTAGTCGTAATAGTAGGACACTCCCTGCAGCAGCAGTGTATAGTCGTGTTATAGGTGTAGGCAATATTATGTGTGCGCATAGGTCACGGATCGCGATAAACGTTTGGTATATAATATGAGATAGGTACCTATATGGGTTTATTTTACAATATTATCATTTGCTGGCGAGCGATCGAAAAACGTAATAATTATACGTACGCCGCACAATAATATATTTTGATGTTATGTTAAGCGTATAAGTAGGTATGTAATATGCGAGTGTTGTCTGATTATGTTATTTGAAAAAATACCTATACCGGTTGATTCGTTTTAAGTAAGGCATGCTCATTATTCAAAAGTTATTATTGTTTTTGAAAAGATGATTTCAAGTCATTGCAAAACAATGTCGTTAGTTTCAAATTATGTTTTTAAATATTCGTTGTCATAATTTTTCTACTTTTTTGGATTACAACATAATATAGTTTTAATTGTATATTCGAAAGCAGACTATTTTTTCCGGGTCCTTTGACACCTACAAATCGAATTCAGAACGAGTTATTGGTAGGTACCTATCTATTTAAAGTTTAGATGATGAGATGAACCGTAACGCTCAGCAGTGGACTAACACTCTGCGGGGTAACCGCGATCACACAACTCTACTCTTCTTAACTTTAAATATACCTATAACTCATGAACTACTCGTCCTAAAAACGATTGTTTGATGTATGGGTCGAAATACTAAAAAAAATATTCTCTCTATTATATCTTATTGAATCAAAACTGTATATGTTATCGTTTAAAAAAAGTAAAAAACTTTAAAAAATATATATAAACCTGTATAGGTATATGTGTACAATTGTGTATCGTATAAACGTTGTTTTTGTAACGTCTAGAAACCAAGTGAACATTTTTTTTTCTTTCAAATAATACGTTTATACTTCTCGAATTAATGAGTTAAACGATAAGTGCTTCGCCCTGTATACTTATACGTATGTGATAATACACACACACACACACACACTCATACGTCATATACTTGTGATATGTGTAACCGTATTGGTATGCATATGATGGGTAATATGTACCAATAATTACCGCATATCGGCTGAGGTGGGTGTTCAAGTCGCAAGCGATGACTCTCGGGGTGCGAGAGGCCACGGTCGTCCGGGATGATTATGATATATCAACTGCAGCTGTTGCGGCCGCGTGATGGATACTAATGATAATAATAATGCCACCTGACGATTTGAATTCGTGTCGGCGGCTGCGCTGATCACGATGATATTATGTTATTCGTCCAGTCTTGTAAAGAATACCTACTTTTATTTCGTGTTCGGAATACGTATAAGGATACGTTTAAAAAAAAAAATTATATTTAGAATACCTATTCGAATACTTTTGGGATGTGCTTTTTTCCTCAATTAATTTTTGTCAGTCCTAGAATGGTTGGAGAATGCAGATTAGCGTAGGCCAATCTCGTATTTCATTCGCAAAGAGAAAAATTATTGTTCGTATAATATGGTTTTTAATGAGTCCCGATTTTTTATAGAAAAATTTGTTTTGTCACAAATTTAAAACTCTCTCTAGAGTTCAATTGATTTAAAATATTATTCGAATGAGAAAAGTAGTATTTGAGTACCCACCTACTTTTATTTGAACATATTTATTCGAATGCCTTGCTATACACTGCGATATTCATCCCGCCAGTTTATATACGTCTGCAAGGCTGTCCAATTTATTCTGGAAGCGGTCTATAATTTCAATTGGATTTAGCTGGGGGGGGGGGGGCGTCTTATGAACAAGACGTGCTTACACCTATATGATTCTTCTATACCTATACAGTTAAATAGATATGTACTTAAACGAGACAAAGTTTTAAATTGCACATGTTTACATGTTATTTGATAAATAAACGCGTGCCCAATGCTAACTGGACACGCACTCCCGTAAATAAAATTAAATACACAACGAAAAGTTAAGAAATTATAATAGTCGTAATTAAAATACGATAGCGAATATTGTCGGAAAAATTCAAATATGTTGACGGGCCTCTGGGTTTGGGCGGCCTTGCAGGTATACGTCATAACTCATAAGTCATAAGTCATAATATTATATAAATTATTGTATTATGCATATTATATCTGCGAAACGCGGCACGCGGACACTGCACGCCGCTACAACGCTATGTATATATATATTATATTATAAAGATGATCCTCAGATCTGGCCGGCAGATCACTGCAGCGGGTGAACAATACAGCGAAGGTCACTGCAGCCGTGAATAATGTAATTTGATTTATCTGTAAGGGATCATATTAAATTAAACGATTTACGAACGATTATTATATTATTATTGTGTATTATTATCAGTAGTATATAGTATTATTTTCGTTATTATTATTAGTAGTAGTAGTATTAGTTTTATAATTATTATAGTATTATTATTATTATTGTTATTGTTGTTATTATAATCGATCCGCTGCATCTTTATGACTATATTATGGCCATTTTGGACGTTACATAATATTTTTAAACAAAGTAAGTTGTATAGAATAATGTGTAAATTACATAATATACCTATATAGTTACTGCGTATTTTATACATAAACTAACATAACATTGATTTAGTTAATAAATTGCGTAATAATATGAAGTTAAATTTAAATCATGCATAATAATTAAAAGTTTTTGTCTTGCGTAGATTTACTAGTTTGAGTTATATATATATATATAATATTTTGATTTATATACAATAAGGTTGTATTTCCGACGAGAATCGTCTACGAGATTTTATAGCGACTCTGCTTAGTTCCGAACGTAACGTTTTTAGCAAGGTATTCGGTGATACTGAATTGTAAGTATAGGACGTATAGGTATTCCAAAAAAAAGCTTCGGCTATATGGGAAAATAAAACCCTGGGAAAATAATCTCTAATTAGTTTGTTATTATATTTTAATAATATATTTAACATTTGTTAATTTTTTCAAGGGTGAAGTGTCATGGTTGTACAGTTAGTTTATTACCTATATTGTATAGCCCGCGGTTTAAGTTAACCTTCTCGGTTCTCAAACGATAAAATAGTCAAAAACATTTTACGTAGATGTATAATAGTTGTATTACATTGATGCTAAACAGTAAGGGATTA